AACAAAGGTAATAAAACAAATAAACATACACAATAGATATCTTATTCTTTCCTATGCACGAAGCATAGAAACTTTTATTTCTCAACAGGTTTTCATATCGCTTGTACTAAACAATACTTGGTTCCTCAACAAGAAGCAGTAAATGATATGCCTTGTCTGTGAAGTCTTACATACATGCTTGGTGCTCTTGAGTGCACTGCATGAGAGCACAATCAAATTATGAACTTGTTTCATACTCACAGTCTATAGCTTACTTTCAAAGTACGAAAAAGTAATGTTCAGCTTCTATATTCTTTGAAATTCATTCAACAAACTTTTTAACATGCAGTTAAGAATGATTATGGTCCTAACAAATTGCCTTACAAAATAAGAAGACAAAATAGTAATGTGGTATTTCCTTACCTAGTACTTACAAAACTAATGACTTGAATTTTTTTTTTTTTTAAGAAAGAACATCAGTACAGTATAAATATGACAAGGAAATAAAGCAGAGGTACAATGCTCCAATGAAAGTATACCTTTCTATCCTGAATTAATGTAGCATATACGGCTAAAGAATAGGAAAACTCCACACACTATACTTTCCGGATTTTCTTCTGCTCTCCAATCAAATCCTGGTAAAAGTATTTTGCATATATTAAGAAAATACCATTTATAATATTGAGACAGCAGTATGCACAAATTTCTTACTACACTTTCATAACAAGAAGAAAGTAAAAGTACACCATTCTTGAGATTTAACATATGATTTAAAATGACTATTTAAGAGGCAAATACATCAGAGAGGTGTCATTATCTCTCTTCACAAAGCTTTTTTTTTTTTCATTACTACAATCATGCTCATATATTGTGAAAAAAAAAGGAAACTAAATCGAACATTAACAAACATAACAAGCTAAAGAGGCCTCAAAAAATTATTTAATTTACTAATCTACCTGTATGTTCCTCTATACCTGATAACTATCTACTCATCTACATCTGATGAATAACCTATCATTCTACCTGTTACTATCTATATAATTAACGCTGTATGATTCACTTTATACTGCCCACCTACCTATCTAACTACCGATTTATGAATTAGTATATGAGAATGACAGTAGCAAATCATATAATTAATAGATACCAAGAGATGAGAAAAATGAATATAGATACAACTTATTACCCTTATGCAACAAAACATTTGACATGTACAGTTCAAGTGACAATTAATAGATCTTGAAGTATTTTTTTACAAGATTATCAGATTTGTATACTGATATATTAACATTTTCTCACGGTTTTACAGAAAACATTTTCATCCATACACTACTGAGCATATTTTCCTTACCCTACTAGCATAGGCCAGGGACTATTACCACACTTAGCACTAAAAACTTCGATACATCAAACGTGATTTTTCAGCTCTAGTATCGGATCATTTTTCAGCTATCAGCAACACCAAAGCTAAAAAAGAAAAAAAAAGGAAAAGAAAATCCATAAAACTAATCTCTTAAAAAATATTTCTTTTCCTGGTATAAAAACTTTAAACTCTAGAAATGTATGATAACTTTTAAGTGTACTGGCAGTAGACAGCCCTATGGTATATGTAATTTTTGAAAATTTATTACCATCAAGGTTAGCAAAGTAAACAGAAAATAGATTTACATTACATGGGGCAGGACCTAGAATGTCTTCCTTACATATTACATTTCCATTCTCAATAACTATGTAAAAGCAGAGCTATACTTTGGACTAGTATAAGGATTTTAATATTACATTCCATTCTTGAATGAGGGTTTATTGTCACTATAATAAACAAATAAATAAAATTATCAGATTTCATCTCGTACATATCCGAGGAGCTTCATGCAACTTATTTTTCTTTGCTCGTAATGTAGAAGGAATCTTTTAATATACACAATTACATTTTTATTAATTTTACATTACCTTTTACTCGACAATAACCTGTTCATTCTATAATCTCTTACACTAACATACAAAGCACACATATATAAGCATGCATCCAAATGCAAGCACACTGCATTTAAACCCACACACATTACTTGAAGTACATACATACATATTTACACACATATACATTTTTTATGCACAGAGCAGATGCATCCATACATACATACAACATGGGCTTGTGTACCACACAAAACCCTAAACAGAAGACAAAAAGACTTAAAAAAAAAAATGTAAAATATTCTGTTGTGCTTTTCTGATATGAATACCTTTAAGGTCTCTAATATTTTTAATGAAATAGTTGCTATCTGGAGGGTACATGCCCTGTTCCCCATGACTTCAGTCCATAAATTTTGCTTACACTCTGATGGCTCCACAGTATTACGTTAACAAGGAATCCGTCCATTACTAAGACTATCTGATCTCACCTGTTTACCTTATTCCATGAATTGTCATAAAGAAAAGTTTGTTTTTATTACTATTAGTACTGTTGATAATGTAATAATAGTAATAATGCTAACAACAATAATAGTATTAGAAATAAAAACGTTTTTTCCCCAAAAATCGAGGAATGGGGTAAAAAGGTAAGGCCATGTGGACTCACGAACCGACTACTTGGTAACTAGCACTTGTGAAGCCCATCTATGTGTAAACAAACTTGATATAAAATTACAGTGGACAGTGCATATACCCTGTGCCAATGGATAAATAATTATATCCTTTCCACTCGACAATGTACAATAATTTCAACCCGTCCCCTCCCCAAAAAGCGGAGATAAATATCTATTATTCATTATCAAGTCTCCCTAATCATTCAATTCACAGTAATTACCCCTACTCATTTACATAAGAAAATAAGAATAATCATAAATATGACACATTTATAAGAGAATTGATAGCTATGATTATGATGATGACAATAATAATAATAACAGCACTAGAAATACAAATACAAAATGATAATTAAAGGAAAGAATCATTAATAACAACCATTAACTGTAATAATAATGAAGTACAAGGTTTTGTATTAATCTTGCCACACACTCACCGTGATGCACTCATCCCTTCACTCTTCCTTGAAGGATATAGATATAGAATATTGATATAATCTTGGATATAGTCTCATTACATTACAAAATAATTTCAGACTACAGTACTTGTGAAACATAATAAATGTGCATAATTATCATCACTGCCCTGTGATCAAAACATCTGAGGAAAAGAAAGAAAAAAATTATTCCAAAAATTTCCATCCATCCAAAGCATTTTCAATCACACAACTGTGATCAAATTCCTCTGCTCTAAAATGGAACATGTAATGCACCACAGCAATGGGACATGGTGTAATGGATTCATGCCCATTATTATGCTTCCTAGTGGCAGAAAAAAAACTTATACTCAAGGTACATTTATTAGCATAATATGAGAAAACAGTTTTTAAATATTCTCCTGATAAACTTGGGTATAGTAAGTTTTTCTGCCATTTTATAAACACAGTAGGGTGTTTTTTTTTACCATCCACACCTTCTAGTGCTGTTACAATATAACCTCGTCCAATGCAAAACTTCTAAAGATCTCCCTACTTATTCTACACTAAAGCTGATGCTGGTAATGATGAGTGCTTGGGTTTTTCTTTCTTCAAAAATACTTTGATACAGCCATTGAAGTCTGCAGATACCAGTACATATCTGTAGGGTATAGAATATAGTGGATTACTCAAACAGGACTAACTACAAGATAAAGTTCAGTACCAAGTAACCTACTTCACAATAGCAATAAGACATTAGTCTATAATATAAGTTGTGAAAACCTGATCAAACCAGGTACTCAAATTTTTAAATGATCACCATATTCTCCTTTATTGCAATGCTTTCTTGTAGATAATCTTCTAAACTTTAAAAAATGCAGATGTAAGATAAATTGGCAAAGAAATGTGTATTATTCTCCTGGCTAAATAATACAGCCTATGACTGAGACCAAAAGGATTTTTTTCACCAAATATATCAAGAGTTTCTGGCTGTCAGTCCATTTTTTTTTTCAATAAAGTCATTATTCCTGACAACCCATTTAGAATGACAGTTCCATTGAACTCAGTTCATATACTGCATTACTTGAATGTGCAAATTGCAAAGAATTGGCATCTTAACCCATTCTCGCCAGGTAAAAATGAACAAAAAATGGGGAAAATGCTGTGCTCATTTTTTACATTCTTTCATGAAATGTCTACACTAGATGGCTCTGCCTTACCTGATTTCACTTTTACTTGAATTGGTGGGAAACTGTATTTTTATCAATGGTTATTTTTATTATAAACATCATAATTACTCTAATGTTATAACCATTAGTAACAGCAAAATAAAACAACGTAAAACATTTTCGTAAATTAAAGAAAAGGGTAAACAGGCGAGACAGGCAGTACAAGTGTAGCCATCTATGTGTGAAAACAATTAAACAAGTAAACTCGTGCCCATATATACGTGACACCTGGCGCGAATGGGTTAAGTGTAATTCATAACCACATTATTTTTTAAATGTTGCAAAAACCATAAAAGAATCAAAATTAATATTGCCTTGTGTAAGTATGTATTCTCTTTTATACCCTCTTCAAGATTTATTTCATTTACCCAAACATTTTTGAATTAAAATTAGAATATGAAAGTGAAAATTTCTTATCTTTCTCACTGGCTTAACCACATCCCACCGGGGAAAGTGAATGAAAAAAGGGGAAAATGCTGTGCTCATTTTCCTTTTTTTTGGTGAAATGTCTCTGCACATAGATGGCTCTGCTGGTGTTCAGCCACAAAGGAGTCAATTAGTAGACTTTGTGACCTTACCTAATTTTCCCTTTCCTTGAAATGATGGGAAAAATTTTTTTTTTTACTAATGCTATGAATATTGATGATGTTACTTTTATTATAAGATTACTATAATGTTATAAACACTAGTAACAGCAAAATAAGATAAAGTAAAATATTTTGGTAAATCAAGGAAAAGGGTAAATGGGCGAGACAGGCAGTACTTGTCATAGTCTCATTGGTGACTTAGTACAAGTCTAGCCATCTATATGTAAAAACAATAAAGTAATCCCACAATGGGCATGGCATATACGTACGTACATGCCACGCCCGTCGGCATTGGGTTAAACTAGACCAGTACAAATATTCTACCCCTAGATTTACTTTACCATATGAAGTGGAAGAGCCATATGAGGTGCAAATAAAATAATTAAGAATTATAATTGAAAAGGCCATCTAAGATACACCCCACGTTGCCTTCATATACATACCCCTTGTTGGTTGTCCCACTATCCTTATTCTGACTCGTTTGGTGTGGCTGCTGCTGCTGTGGATGCTGCTGCTGCTCTTGCTCTCCTGATTTGCTGAGAATCTCCTGCTGTTGTTCAATGAAGCTGAATACCAGTTCTGGGTGAGGTGCAAACACTGCACAAGTAACAACAGCACTGTGAGCTGAAAAAAAGAAAGAAAGAAAAAAATTTACAAGGCGTGTAAAAACAAAGGAAATATTTCTTATTTATGTTTCACAGGAACTCATCACAATAGAAATGCTAATATGATGTTGATGGTTATCATCCACTACACATTACACTACACAACAGTACCTTTGACTCCTTCCCAGTACAGGTTTCGGTCTCTTCTTGCAGATGAGAATTTGGAGTAGTCATGATGAGTCTTCCAGATGTAGATACATTGATTTTCACTTCCAGCTACTATAAACTTGCCATCATGACTAGAAAGAATAGCAACTTGTTAATCTCATCCATTAGAACAAAAGAAAAAAAAAGAAAAAAAGAAAAGAAAAAAAAAAGAGGAAAAAAAAAATTTAGCTAAACAAAAGTGACACACCCAACTGGAAATGATAAGGGCAGTCTTTAACAAAGACCATTTGCAATGAGTTTCCCTAAATCGCAGTTGAAATGAAGACAGATAGACATGGCTTCTTATTAAAGATATTAATCCTGTTATATGTGTCATTCAGCAATCCTAATCTTGAAAAATTACTAATGCGGAAGAGCCTACCTGAATCCTGCACGGATCTGACTAGACATATTGGAGTAGCCTTTGTATTTGCATGACAGGTTCAAATCACGCAAGTCGTATAATCGTATTCTACTGTCGTTGCTCGTTATCAGCACCTGGAGATTTATCAAATATTTGCAAACGGTTAGAGATGGTTGCAAAATATGTACAGTTAGTATCACAATTATTGATTCATGAATAATATTAATCAGAAACCTCTTCTTCCATCCTCTTAACTTTCAAAATACAGTGTCTTTTTCAAAACATGATCCCAGGCTTTTGGAAATATAATAACAAAAATACACATAATTCTCTATACCTTATCTTCGCCTGGTAAAGGTTCAATGCCAGTTATTTTTCTTCCTTTGGCATTCTTTCCTCTTGTTGATCTGACATTGATCTGTGTGAAGTACTTCAGTTGCTCTGTCTCATAGAATATACATCTTCCATCATATGTTCCTACGACAGTAAATTTACCATTCTGAAATAAAATCAGAGGAATTTTTGTAGGGCAAATGATTTCAATAGCATATATATATCTTCAGACATTATTTTTATTTTCACTCGATACATACCTAATTTAATAATTATAAATTTATATACTTTTATAAAGTGAAGTTATCTTCAGCTCCTTAACCATAATGAATATGTCCCAAGAAATATCACAACTGACTAATATACACCTATTTCTCAGTCTCATCTGCACACTCAAACCAATGGTACGATCACAAGAAATCAAAAGAATCTTCCCTCTTACCTGGCAGAAGTTTGCCGCTGTAATCAGGTTTGGTTGGCCTCCCACCTCGTTCCACAACACTACTCTCTTGTCGGGGATACTCCAAAGTCGTAGCTTTCCGTCTAGGGCACCAGATATGAAGTAGCGGTCATCCTGTTGAAGACATTTTAGATGTTTCCTCATTAATTTTCCGTTTCTCTTTTCATGTTTTAGTCCCCCAATGACGCTATCAGAAATCTCTCAGCATCACTGATTCCGGTGACTTCTGACAACCGTCCTACCCTTTGGCCTGGGAGTCCACTACATGTAGCGGAAGCTCCTGCCCGACTCTCTCTAGCATGCTGTGATGTCTATAGCCATATCCGTCATGATGAGATAGTTGGTTATGATGGCTATAGGTGTGGCCCAACAATAGGAGGTTAAAATGTTGCAAAATTTACCATGTTTAATTTCTTGTTATACATTAATCTCAAAAGAACTACAGCTTACAGCATGGATATCACAAACTTTATAGGGTGGGAACTAAAAATAGCTTTTTCTCTACATGTCAAATCCTTACATAAAACAAGAGTTCTGGAAAGTTAAAATATTTGGGGGTTACAGTTAAAGTTTTGCTTACCTTAGGATGAAAAGTTATTGCTGTGACAAAATCCATATGCTGGAAGATGCATAAACACTCCTTCCGACTTATGTGCCACAGACGAACAGTTTTGTCCATTGATGAAGTCAATAAAAAGTAATTCTGAAAAATGGTTAATCAAACTGATAAAACCTGTC